GACTATATTGTTACTGACTCTGCAAACACTCATTTTCTATTCTGTTAGCAAATGATTAGTCATTAGTCATCCTCTCCCCAGAGTCCTTGCTGCTGCTTACGGCATCCCTAAACTCTTCTAAGGCCACAGTGGACTCTTGTCCAGGGATGACACGAGCTAGCTTGCGAGTCACCAGCACTGCCCTGGGTGCAGCCTGCGTGGTTGTGAACAGTGTCCTGCTGACTAGATCTATACTGGGCTCCTAATCCCACATGAGCGTGGTCAGGCCTTTGTAATAATTACCTCCATGTGCCACACCTGACTTCACTTCGTTAACCTGATGCTTTGCCTCCACCTGTCTTTTCTCACTGAGAGTTAACATGGAAGAAATGCTGAGTTCCCAGCACTGAATCTCTAATTTCTACAGAGTGCCTGGAAATTTGCTTATAAGAGTAATGAAAAGGGTTATTACATGTTATAACATGAGAGCTACTCTTATTGCAGATATAAAAATCCCCTTTAGGGGGGGACTAATCGCCAAGTCGTTACAGGACTCCATAGAACAAGCCAGGAACTCAGTAGCTGAACCAGATACTGGAAGATGTTGCAGGCATTGCCTAGACCTTCCTAACGCTGCAACCCTTTAATACAGTTCGCCATGCTGTGATGACAATCATAAAATATCTCCTTTTGTATATTGATTCTTCTATGAATCATAATGTAAACACCTGTATTTTCTGATGGTTTTAGGTGACCCCTGTGAAAGGGTCATTCGACCCCAAAGAGGTTGTGACCAGCAGGTTGAGAACCGCTGACCTAGACGGAGTTCAACTTTTAAAAACCCAGAGTGATCCAGGGTCATGCTTGAAACTCAGCACTAGGCAGCCTGAGGCAAGAGGACCATGCCAGTCTGGGCTGAACTGCAAGATCCTGGAGGCAAGAAGTGTAGACATCGGAGCATAAGCCAGAGGGATGAGGAGGTGTTTGCAAGAATCCCCCATGGGCTCAAGTATTTGAACACTTGGTCTCCAGTTGGTGGCACTGTTTGGGGAAGTGGTGGGGCCTTGCTGGAGGAAGAGGTCACTGTTGCCAAGGTCATGATAGAGTTAAAGTGAAGTTAATGCATACTTATGATGTGTGCATCCTGCTGAATATAAAATTAAGAAATTCTATTATCAATTTTACTGATGAGTGCACACATGTGTGTATGTTTTATGTATGTGGGTGCATGTGTGGAGACTTCTGGGGACAACTGGTAGAAATCAGCTCCTCCTTCCCCCTACACAGGGCCCACGGCCTGAACTCAGGTCATCAGCCTTGTGGGCAGACTCCTTGATCCACCGAGCCATCTCACCAGCCTGGTTGAGTGTAATCTTGACATTTAAAAAGGCTAAACAAAGATTGAAAACCAGTAGTATAGATGATATACTGTGCGAACGTGAAGAAGGATGGCTAGAAGGATGAGCGAGTGCTGTGGGCAGCGAGGGAAGAGCTAGAGGGATGAGCATCAAGCATCTCCTGAGAGCCCTTCCAACTTCACTTGGGTTTTGTTGGGTAGTTGATTGGTTATTAATTTTATGGTTAATCTTTTTTTTTAAGATTGTATTTATTTATTATGTACATTCTGCCTCCATGTATGCCTGCAGGCCAGAAGAGGGAGCCAGATCTCATTACAGATGGTTGTGAGCCACCATGTGGTTGCTGGGAATTGAACTCAGGTCCTCTGGAAGAGAATCCAGTGCTCTTAACCACTGAGCCATCTCTCCAGCCCCATGGTTAATTTTTTTTTGCTTTGTTTTAATTTGTTTGTGACACAGAGTCTCACTCTGGAGCCCAGCGTGAGATCAAAGTCACAGCAATTGTCCTCCTGAGTGCTAGAACTGAAGGTGTGAGCCACCGTTCCAGCTCTGACATCTGCTGAAAAAAGGAAACTTTTAAAGTAACAGATCAGATCTGGATAAAGAATGTCAATAAAACATGGACCAAAAGACTTCAACAGTGGTCAGAGCCTAGTAGTCTTCTGAAACTTTCCTGTGTCCAAGACTTCCAAGGACTACGTGACGCCTCTGACAGGGCCAAGCTTTTGAAAAGGGCCCCAAAATAAAGCTAACTTCCTGCTTACAATCTGGTTACAACCTTTTAGAGTCTAACCAATGCCCTACACAGACTTGTGAAGCCCAGTGCCTAATGACCTTACACAAATAGCTGATTTCCAGAAAAATACCTTGTCCTGTAAAATTCACTGCTTAGGTAAGTAGCCAGTAGCCCACCTGACCTCTCAGATACAGGTCCCCCCACTGAGTCTCACACTGAAAGAAAATGGTAACCGACCCTTAACTGCTATAAAAGAAACCTGATCCCTTCTCTGCGAAGCAGCCTGCTGCTTTCCTGGAAAATAATTCAACAGACGTTTTGTCTTTCGTGCCTCTGGTACATTCTTTCACTGCCCGTGTAATTGGCCCGCCATGTCACCCTGGAATCTGAAGGTTCTGCACCAGAAAAACTGCATGGAGAAAACTGAGCAGAGGAGGGGTTTCCAACAAGAGGAGAGAAACAGCATTTAACAATGTCAATGTTGGAACTAGAGAAAAAAAAAAACCATCCTGAGTGAGGTAACCCAACCCAGAAAGATGAGCATGGTAGGTACCCACTCATAAGTGGATACTAGATGTAAAGCAAAGGATAAGGAGCCCCAGAGAAGCTAAGTAACAAGGAGAACCCTAAGAGAAACATATATAGATCCATCTGGGAAGGAGAAATAGACAAGATCTCCTGAGAAAATTGGGAGCATGGGGGTGGGGGGAGGAGGAAAAACAGAGGGGAGGAGGAGGGGAGAAGGGAAGGGGAAAGGAGAACTTGAGGGAAAAGGATGGTCAAGATGGAGGAAGGTCAGAGATGAGAGCAAGGAAAGAGATATCTCGGTTCAGGGAGCCATTATGGGACTAGCAAGAAACCTGGCACTAGATAAATTCCCAGGAATCCCCAAGGATGACCCCAGCTAAGATCCTAAGCAGTTATGGAAAGGGTGCCCGAACTGGCCTTTGTCCTGTAGTCAGATTGATAAACTATCTTAAATGTCACCAAAGAACCTTCATCCAGCAACTGATGGAGGCAGATGCAGAGATCCACAGTGGAACACTGAGCTGAGCTCCCAAAGTTCAGTTGAAGAGTGTGAGGAGTGAGAATATGAGCAAGGAGGTCAAGACCATGATGGGGACACCCACTGAAGCAGCTGACTTGAGCTAATGGGAGCTCACCAACTCCAGCCTGATAGGGAAGGAACAAGCATAGGCCCAATCTAAGCCCTCTGAATGTGGGTGACAGTTGTATGACTGGGGCAAACTGTAGGGTCACTGGCAGTGGGACCAGGATTTATCCCTACTGCTTGTACTGGCTTTTTGGAACCCATTCTCTCTGGAGAAATACCTTGCTCAGCCTAGATACAGTGGGGATGGACTTGGTCCTGCCTCAAAGCAATGTGTTAGACTTTGTTGACTCCCCATGGGAAGCCTTGCCCTCTCTGAGGAGTGGATGGGAAGTGGGAAGATGGAGGAGGAGGAGGAGGAGGGAGGAGCAGGAACTGGGATTGGTATGTAAAATAGTTTTTTAAAAAATAAAAAGGTTAAAAATGTCAATTAAAACACCTAAGAAACCCAGAAAAGAGGGAAGACGGCATCAGAGAGTATGAAGCACACAGTCTGAGAGTTTGGCCTGTGAGCATGTCTGTGGAGGGACTGTCTGGATTATCAACTGATGTAAGAGGACCCAGCCTGCTATGGGTGGCACCATTCCTGGGCCGGTGGTCTGGGCTATATCAGGAAGCTAGCTTAGCATGAGCCAGCAAGCAGCACTCCTGCATGGCTTCTGTTTCAGGTTCCTGAATTCCTGTCTTCTCTCCGAGATAGGCTGTAAGATGAGATAAACCCATCCTTCTCCTAAGTGGCTTTTATTTGGAGGGTTTTATCACAACCCAGAAGAAACTAAAATATTCGTGTATGTGTATCTCCATTGTTCATGATAGATGCAGCTCTATGCAAACTGATAACATTTCACCTCTGGAGTGACATTCATTCTCTAGGGTGTACGGGACACTGGTGACGTCCACTTGGAATCTGAGAGGAATGTCTGATGACATATCTTCATCTTGTGAGGCTCTGTGGTGCAGATATACCCATCCCTCCCAGCAGACTACCAGGCAGGCAGTGCCTGGAAAGAGCTCCAAGCATTGTCCACACCAACTATGAACTTCAGCCTGTGCACCTACACGATCAGGCCCAGGTCTTTCGGCCTCTTCTGTCACATTATCCTTCCTCTGGTCCTCTCTCTCCACCAAATGTCCACCACTAAGCCATCACTGCAGGTCTCAGCTGTCTGACTCTGTTTCTCTTTGGAAAACTAGGCTTTAACACCGGTACTTCCTATAAGCGTCCAGCAGCTGGACAAGTCCCTGAAACCCCTCTCTTGGGCTCACGCCAGGCTTGCGACTGTTGTTCACATTCTCTGTCTGCCCAGACCCAGACCTCTCTCATCCTGTAGTCACTGGAGTCACTGCTCATGGCCTATCTTTGCTGACTATGAGTGTCTAGGACTTAAGGTACCCAGGTGGTGACCAACTGGGCCACAAAAGGGCCTCTTACACAACAGCCCTGCACACACAGATGGAGCCTTCCTGCTGCTGTGCCCCAGCATTGTTGCGATCAAGGACAGCGTGGTCATCTTATGAGAATGTCTAAATTGATCCTCCTACATCGTTTGGGTGCTTTTCAGTTTCTCATGATCATTCTCAGAGTCAAGTGTCCTTTGGGCCAGAATCAAGGGCATCTTTCTTAAGCTAAACTATAACTCACAGGCCAACAAGATGGCAGAGGGAGTAGAGGTTCTTGCTAAGCCTGACAACTTGAGTTCAATCCCCAGTTATCTGCATGATGAGAGGACCGACTCTCCAAATCTGTCCTCTGACCTCCACACGCATGCCACGCCAAGTGTTCACACACTCACTCACACACATATACAGACACATGCAAAATCAATGTTTTTAAAATTGAGTAATACCTACACAGGAGATTCTGAGACTCGGTCTGCCCATTTTCTAAATGCCCCTCTCTCTATGGCCTTTGTGCTGCCCCAGCCACATTCTCTGCTTTCCAAGACCCATAAATGGTCACGTGGTGTTGCTAGTTTTAAAATGGCCCTGATGAACTCCTATTATCGATGGCATTATTAGTTGTCATGCTTTCCTTGACACACGAGCATCCAGATGCGCTTGTTTGGGATTTCCCGAACCTCTGTTTCTGTCCTCAGTAAAATGCACGTGCAACTTTAAAGGACAAAACCAGGTCTCTGAATCAGAGAGGAAATGGGGACGTGGGCTGTGGCTGGAGACTAGCTCTGGTGTCTGCACTTGGTCCACTAAACAGCTTACAGAAGACATGGCACAGGGAGAGAGCAAGTGCAGGAAGGCTGGGGAGCGGAGGTCAGATGGGTGATGGCTTGGTAGTACCTTGGCACAGTCCTGCCAGGGTTCTGGTACATGGCATAGCTTCACCAGAGACCTACACAGAAATCGTGTCTCTTTTACTAGCTTCTCGTTCGGGGTGAAGCCAATAAGGCATGACACACACGCAACCACACTGACAGGTTCTGACCATGCAGCAACTGTCCGTCTTTCTCAAATTTGGCTTCCTCCATCTGCTCAGAATTCTGTGGCACATTAAAGAAGAGGGGGTCTTAAGGCAAATACCATCTATCGTATGAACTCTAGGAGGGAGGTCACCACAGGGCCATCCTGGAGAAGTGCATGCTGAATGGAAGATTCCAGCTCCACCCACAGGGGAGGAGGCCCAAGCTTGGACATACTGGTGCGGCTCTACTGCGCTGAGCTCAGAGACTCCAAATACAGATGTCACCAAGCAGCATCTCCCCATCAGCTCAAGGACATTTCTCTCCTGCCAGCTCTTGAAAAGGGAACATTGCCTGCTTGCTCAGCCTTCCTTGGAACCCTCCCCATTGTGCTGAAGCTTTGCTGTGCTCTGCTGCCTGGAGAGCTGCCTCCATCTTTCCACAGGGTCAGGGAGGTCTAGACAGTCCAAGAGGGCAAGAAACATTAAGAACAGTACATTGGAAGGTAGGAAAAATTATGTAAAAAAAAAAATGGTATTAAAGTTTGGCCAAAAAAAAAAAATACAGGGTAAAGAAACAGGCAGTGTCCCTGCAAAGCTCTGCAAAACAGGCAACAGCCTCAGTTCTCAGCCTCCAGGGCTCCTAGGTGTGAACTCCACCCCAGAATCATCTACTGTGGTGGGTGGGGGGTAAAGAAATGCAACCTTCCTGCACTTAGCCCTCTGCAGGACTTCACAGCAGGGTGTCAGGACGAGCGTTCATCTGAGCATGAGTCTCAGAGCATGCACAGTGCCCTCCACTCCTTCTGCTTGCCTTCTGCATCTGCAGGAATCCAAGTGTGTGTCGATGCACGTGAACTTTGCAGGTTGTGAAAACAAAGCTTTGGAAGTTGGTAAAATTTCTCTTCCTTCCTTTTCCTCCCTTTTTCTGGGCATCAGAGACCCAGTGAATTAAGGACCAGGATGGTGAAGGAAGAAAGCAGCTCAGTGTGGAGAGTGAGAGCATCCTCACCTCCACGGTGTGGGCAAAGGATGCAAGCAGGAGCTCGTCTCCTAGCAGTGGATCCATCGAGTAAGCAAAGACACCGGAGGGAACAGAAGCCAGGTGCCGGCGTGGAAAAGGAGCAGCTGTAGCAATCCTTGTGGTGGCAGATCAGAACGGGAACTGGCATGCACTGTGACTTGCTGCCGATGCAGTCGATGCAGACATAAACGTGTGTAAAGAACAGTGCTGGTCTCCCTGGAAAGAGGCGGGAACACTTGAGAAGGATCTGGGAACACTTGAGAAGCAGGCACAGGCAGCAGCTGGGGACTCCCGCTGGAACAATCATGAAGAGAATGGCTCTTAACTCACAGAGTGAAATAGGACACCCGAGCCCACTGACTGTAGGAAATGAATACAGAGCATGATAAGGGAAGGGTATTTACATAACTTCAGAGCAATTGCAGAGGCTGAAAGGAATCTTCTCAAATGAATACTCATTCATGTACTCCAAGGGGAAATGTCTTCCCATCTTCTGGACTTCATGCCAAGTCTCACGCCGTTAGTGCGTTAACAGGGTGTTAAAGCTAGAGTAGGAATTTTCCCATTTACCGGAGCAAGTGTGTCCCGGGTGATCCGTGGAGAGAAGGTGCATTCAGGTAAACCCACTGAGCATCAGTGGGCCCAGTGGAGAGCAGTGAGCTGCAGGCTGAAGACCCATCCTCTAGTGGGCAGAGTCCAGAGTGGCATGCGCAGATGGCCCAGGGAAGAGACGGGGGCTCTAAATTAGGTCGGTGATGGGAAGCAAATGCAATGCGATGCCTTTCAGGGTTAGGGTAAAACTGAAGGCCGTTCAGAAAGAGCGGTGTGATGTCAGCTGAGGGGCGTGGGAAGCCATCGAATGCTAGCTCTGAGAGGGGCGGAAGGGCTGGTGATGACCACTCCTCCATACCACGCAGCACGGAACGGGAGGCACTGCTCCAGAGCTGGGCAAGGCATCCTGGGTCGGATCCACACACACCAAGGCAAGAGGTGACGGCAGCATAACTGTGGGTAGAAGCCAGTCTTGGAGACCGTCTCCTCGTCTACGTTCCCTTTAGTGTCCTTTACTGTTTCAGCCAGTGGCTTGGCAGAATAGAGATAGGAGGGAAAACTAAACTGAATGCTGGGAAAAAGAAGGCGGAGTCAGAAGAAGCCATGTAGCTGCTGCCAGTAAGCCACAGCCACGTGGTGATACGCAGATTAGTAGAAATGGGCTAATTTAAGATATAAGAGTTAGTCAGAAATACGCTTAAGCTATTGGCCAAACAGTATTGTAAGTAATACAGATTTCTGTGTGATTATTTCTGGAGTCTGTGCAGCCAACAAACAAGTGGCCTCCCCCAACAATTCCAGTCAATTTTATAGGGAGACCAAGGTGGTCACAGCTGCTTTAGTGAGATAAACCTAAAAAAGTTCATGTTTACTGACTTTGAATACTAGTATTTGGAACTGGACTCCCCATGTCTCCCCTGGCTCATCAAAGCCCACACACTTACCTGACTTGGCCAAGGCTACTGAAAACTTATTTTCAACCTGCTTGCCATGCAGTAGGCCAGAACACAAACAGGAAGAGAAAATCAGAGCACTGCTCAAGGGATACGTGATTGGACTGCCGTGGGGTCAGGAGGATCTCACGTGCTCAGCCTCAGGAGGACCACAGGGCTCTGGCACACTCAGCTCACACCACCCCTCTCAGTCCACAGCCCACACCTTGCCATTGTGCCAGCCTGTTTTAATTCAGGCTGCTCTAAGAAATGCTCAGACCAGAATCACAAATGTGCCCCATTTGAAAGGATGACAATTTGTTTTAGAACAAAGGAAGACTAAGGTAAAGTCTGAGGACTACTGCAAGCCCCGCCTCCCTCGTTTCTCCAAGAACATGAAAATAAACAGGTGTGAAGAGGAGAGACAATACAGCCTCCTACTGAAATCATCTTCTAAACAAGCCAAGGTACACAATCCCCCACAAAAGGACACTGAAGAAGGAGCCAGTAAGTCCAGAGAGAAGGCAAGCCCTTACTCACCCATGTTTCCAACTGGGTCCTCCCCACCACTCAACACCAACCACTAGTTCCAGAGTAGCCTACCCTTTGAACCCACAAGTGAAGGGGTGCTGGAAACAGATATGCACGTGGGAGAAGCAAAGGAACAAACAGAAGAGGGACTGTGGTAACAGGGCCCCCCCCCAAGGCCATAGCCCTATCCCAGCAAATAAGCAAGGCCAGCTCCTTCCTCTAACACAGAAAGGCTAAATAAAGGACTGCTTCTGATCAAGCCCTTGCTAATGTCTAGACACACACTGTCTAAATACACACCCTGTGCTCGGAAGAGCTGGGTCCTTCAATTCCACCATGATGGCAGCTGTTTTACGGATCCACGCGCCAGATAAATCCTGTTAAACTCACAGCATTTCAGGTGTGTCTCACAGATACAAGTCAGGTTTGGCTTCTGACCAATCTGAAAGCCTTTTTCTAATTGGTAACAGATCCACGCACATCAATCAACACAGCAGTTTTTGATGATGTTGTTCTGAGGATAAGCAATTTAAAACATTTTCACATTGTACCTGCACTATCTAACTAACTAACTAACTAACTGTTAGATAAGCAGGATGGGTGGGGCCGGCGCAATGCTCAGCGGGGAAAGTGCTTGCTGCACAGTCGGATTGTTAAAGACAGCAACAGCCAGTGTGAGAAAGGACGTACCAGCATTACAGAAAGTGGAATGTAGCTATAGGAGTGCTGCCTCGAACACAGCTCAAAGATGTGTGGCGTACTAGAAACTGTGGAAAATTGCATCTCCAACATAACTGAAGTTTAGGTTTGCCGAGAATATGTTTCTGCTAAGATGTGTGCAGACTGTTACCCACATTGGCTCCCATTCCCATAACAAAAGGACAATCCTAGCACACAGTAGGTCTTCGGGCCCTATTCACTACCACTTTTACCATTTAGTTCAAAGGGGGTGGCATTGGAAAACTGCTACCCATAAAGTCCTGGTCCTCTTACCAAGAAGAACACAATTCTGCCAGACAGGCGATGACCCTGGACAACACTAATTGAAAAGAACATTAATCTACTTCAAACTAACTGTGGCAGGATCCTTGCTGTGTAAATCTACCATCCCACCAAAATGGCAAAGCTTGCAGTGTCTGTCTCTATAAAACATGTTTAATTGCTCCATGTTAACTCAGGGCAAGGACCTAAAGAGATTTACAGGTGACAATGTATGTGCCACCTTTTAGCCCAACATCTATAAAAACTGTCAAGTATTTCTGCCCATGGTCAGACTCTGGGCACGCACCAGGCTGCCAGGCCAGGCACACACTGGGCTAAGGAGTTGTCCTTTGTCTGCATTCCCTGAGAGGGCAGAGTGAACTCTCACTGGGGAGAGCTAGCTCACTGCAGCAGGACGACCTGGGTGGGATCCCCAGAACCTATGCTGGAGAAGATGATCCCAAGAGTATCCTCTGACCTCCGTAGGTTCCGTGGTATGTGCACACACCCCATACACATCATACATCACACACATACACAATAATAATAATAAAAATTTTTAAATTTAAAAAAAAGAAATGGAATAATTTAAACTTGACCAAAATAAAAAAATTCTGTGTCGAGACTTCCAAGTTCTTATTGGCAATGTGAATCCAGCTGATTCTGGACAGGAAGTAAAGCCTGACCCCAGCTGCTTTGCTGGCAGCTGCCAGGAAGAACACAGGAGCCCCTACCAATCAGACTGGACAAAGACCAACTCATTAACACACAAGGAAAAAAGGCAAACACATTTTAAGAAACTTACAGTGGATTTTTAGAAAGCAATTAATTTGTGACTTTTTCTTACTTTGTGGAACATAAAATATTTCCAAAATGTGAACATCAAAGTTGGGTCTTTGCAGGCGGAGGATAGAAGATTGGACCATCTTCACAGACCATCATCCCGTGTGTGGAAGCCCCCGTGGCCAGCCGGGCATCCGGCCTGAAGGACAGCCGCTCATCTGGCTCAGTGCAGTTTCGCAGATGGAGGTCCTCCTTGGTGAAGCATAACTCTATTTGACCAACAGTTTGTACACTCTCTCCCTAAAAATAGAAAATGGTAGACATTTCAGAGTCCAGGACCCATGGGTTAGTATCGATCTGGGGATCACAGCCTCAGCACTTGAAAACAGAAGCCGCGGCTCCAGATCAGAGACTCCAGCCTCTGAGCAAGGCCTCTCAGAGCAGAGGAGGGTTCAGGGGAACCTAATGGAGGCTTGCTCCTCACAGTCACCGAGGGCTCACCTCTGCTCGCCTGGAAGCCTGGGGTGAGGAGGTGTTTTCAGCTCGGAAGACAAAACACAAACAAACACAAACTGACCCAAATGTGCCCATAGCACACATGGGGACCCTGGCAGAGTAAATGTCAAGATACTCGTTCCTGGCAGCCAAGAGCATCTGTTTCATCTGGAAATGAGACAGTAGGCTGCAATTAAAGTGACTGAGAGCGGCAAGGTAAGAGCTTAGACTACCAGGTGTGGTGGCACACAGAGAGGCAGGTGATCTCTGCAAGGTGGAGGACGGCCCGGTCTACACAGTTATATAACAGAGAAACCCTGTCTGTAAAACAAAACCAACCAAATAAATGAACAGACAAAAACAAAAAAACAACAAAAAAACCTTAGAAACTTACAAATGCTTAACTTAGAACTCTACTCCTTGCCCACTTTCTCTTCCCCTTCCTCTTCCCTCTCCCTCTCCCTTCCTCTTACAAGGTTTTCTCACTAGAATGAAGCAGCACAGCCTGTAGTGCTATACAGATCTAGTCTTTGACCAAGCAGCTGCCATCTTGGTGAGTTCAGCTGTGCCTCTTAAACAAGATCAGGCCATAGGGCTCCTTACTGTTTACATTCTTTCTTAGAGGGGCGGGAGGATCATGTGACCCTCACCTGCCTATCCAGCTGCTTCCTATTTCCTGCTTCAGGCAATGCTACACTAACAGCACGTGGTGTCTGGGAGGGGCTTGAATGTATAGACCAGAGAAGACTAGAAGGGGCTCCATCTATGTGGCTGAGGAAAAGCCCTCACCGCTGCTGGGTAGACATTCTGGTGTGGGCTTTTAGGAGAGCAGCACCCACGACCCTGCAGGTAACCCTCACCCAGCTCTGTAACTAAGCTCAATAAGCTCATGGGTTCGCCCGAGTGATCTGTGGTGGAATCATGCCTCGGGGGGCTGTTGAGACCTTAAGAGGGAAAGCAGATGTTTATGTCTCCCCAAGGAAGGAATCTGAGAAACACACGAGATGCTTCAAAACATCTCTGTGCTTTCCCATACACTTGCCTGTACATGTATATACATGGAAAATATGCCCAGATGTAACTGTCCCAGAGTAAAGCCATCTTTTCCATAGAGAGAATAGGATGCAGAACACAAGTCTGACCTGTTCTGGCACAAGGCACTGGATTTTAGGCACCACGCCATAGATCCTGGTAAGCGCATCTCTGAAATCTGCAAGCTGGGATTAAATGAGAGCATTAGCAACGAACAGCAGAAGTCCCACCCTCACTGATTCTCTTTAAAGAGCATCCCCGACACACAGAGGACCTGGAGGACAGCCTTAGAGAGCACGCCCCACACACAGAGGACCTGGAGGACAGCCTTAGAGAGCACGCCCCCAACACACAGAGGACTGGAGGACAGCCTTAGAGAGCACGCCTCCCCGACACACACACACACAGAGGACCTGGAGGACAGCCTTAGAGAGCACGCCCCTGACACAGAGGACCTGGAGGACAGCCTTAGAGAGCACGCCCCCACACACAGAGGACCTGGAGTACAGCCTGAGGATGTTCTGGCTCCATCACTGAAGGACAGATCACTATGGGCTCTGCCCAGGAGGCCTGAACATCCCCAACAGTTTGTTTTTTCTCTGTTCCACCTTCCTCTCCACTGGGAGCTTGACTCTTCCCTATCTCCAGCCCAGTCCAGTGTCTCCCTCCTATGCTATCTTGCCTAAAGCCACCCTCGCCAACTGACTGCTGGGATCCCAAAGCTTTTCCCCAGGCCTGTTCCTGCCTCAAATCCAGCAGCTTCCATCGCTCACCCTTGGCTTTCCCTGGAGATCCTCTCTGCCTTTGACCTTGGTAACCAGAAGGCTGTTGAGGACACAGGTCCACTAGGAACTTCCCAGTGCTTCCTGTGTCTCAGAGCATGGCATGGCCCTTACCACCCCAGCTTCCTATTTTGGGAAAATGCCAGGTCACCACCTCCTCCACGGGTCCAGTAGCCCCCATGTGCCACAGAGCACATGAGGGGACAGGGGCTTGGATGCTGATGCAAAGCTGAATGCCTGCTGATGTCAGATACTTTTGGACCAGTTTTCCAAGTCACTGTCTCGTACTCCTGCCACCTTACCAAGTGCATGAGGCAGCTCAGCAGCAGGTAGACCCTGCCATTCCCATCACCATGGATACCATCTATGAACATCAAGCCAGGTGAAACTGTAAACACAGCCCCCTTCTCATGTCAGTTTGAGCAGAGTCCGGGTGAGCTTGGGGAAGCCCTACAAACCCACATCCTGGCATTTTCCAGAAGGGTCTAACTTAACTGGCAGCTAAAGCTCCTTTCAAGGCCAGGCTCCAATTCCCTACAGTCCACAGAGGGAGAGATACACACTGACTGGGGAAAGGAACACACGGTCCTGCAGACAAAGCTGTCGGGTTACTACCAACAGGGCAAAGTGATGGCCGTGCCCATGCCTGGACCGCAGAGGCTTCTCTGGAGCTGTTTTAAAGCCACACCCCACAATAAACACAAAAAACACCTCAGAGAACCGTCTAAAGAGAGTCTGTGAGCTCTCCTGGTAGCCCAGGTATATTTTAAGCTTTTGAGTGACAGCTCTCTTTAGAAAAAAAAAAAACAGACAAGCCATAACTGAAAGATCTGCATTGCACATGTCCTTCTTAGTCAATAAGACATGGCATTACTTCCTGTGCCACGTAACTTACATGAAAAAACAAAAGCCAGTTTCTTTCCCCTCAAACACCATGACATTTTTCAAAAGCACATTTCACACTGTGCTGAGGCCAAGGACTACTGCTCGGCAGAACCGTGGATCTGCGCCTCCAAGTCAGGGGCCTAAGAGCCTTAGTGTATGTTCATATGCAAACGCAAACAGTTCAAGGAAAACCTATTTCAAGTCGTGTATCCTGGGTCACTTTAAAACCCAACTGCAGCTCACAAGGTGAATGGATCCCACCAAACTCCCCAGTGACAAACATTAGATACCAGACAGAGGCTGCAGGTAAGACTTACCTGGTAGTAATTGATAGATGGCTTGATCCCAAATTTTAGCAGCACACTAAAAGAAAATGTAAAAATTAGCTGCATGAAGACAGCACAGCACACTTTGTTCTTCCCTTGGATTTCACATTGAAAATTAAGACGCTGTTAAAGGAGAGTGTACTTTCTAACTTCCACAATAAATCCATTAACAGGAACAGCAGCAGCAAACCCTGTGCAAGCTATGACCACACAGGCTCTGCAGGATAGCTTTTCCTGAAGAACTGTGCTGGCCAGATCGTCAAAGAATTTCAGTGCATGTAGCCTAGAATCCTATCAGAGTTGCTCACAACAAACTTAATACTGGAGGCACAATGTCAACGTCCCTAGACCACCCACTGCAGAGAAGTCTCTGTGGTCCCACCACAAGATCCCGGATGGCTCAGGACTGTTGACACCAAGGGGTAGGTTGGAGGCTGCAACTCTTCCTCTCTACTTGCCATCAGTCTGTGGCAGCAAGGGGCAAGCAGGAAATGCCCCCAAAATCCACACAAGTGTGCCGCTGCCTGCCCTGGCTGTCAGAATATGATTAACACAGTTCCAACAAAGTATAAAATATTCCAACTTCAAAACAATATTTATTATAAGTCACAACTTTAGTGCTTTGATAAACTGAGCTTAACCTGTTATTGCCATTTTTGACCAGACTTTTTACTGCTGTTTTTACGGCTGTGTTTTAATAACATTACTGGAAAAAGTCGTTTAGCACCTGTGGCCACACACTGCTCCACCTGATGCAGGTGGCCCAGGAAACACAGCAAAGAGAAAGATGGGCCAAGCTGTCTCTTGTCCTCTTCTGAGTGAAGACAGCGGGTGCCAGCCCACGTCTGCACTGGCGGGAGCTCAGAGCTTCTCAGCCTGCCGCCTTTACTCCACGAAGTAGGTGAGCATGATTTACAGTTTATGATACCTTGTTACATCTTATGAAATGGACAGGTATTCTCCATTGATGGAGGAATTGGGGAGAGTAATCATTCTTCTACAATTTTTTTTTTTTTTTTTGGTCATTTTAAGCAAGCACTGCCCACTGGGAGTGCCTTCCAGTTATCAGGCCTCTGGGATCACTTGCTGACAGCCAGTGGCTGTAGCTAGACAGCAGTGTTTCAAGGGTGAAGGCTCCGATGTGTCTCTAACAGGAGACACTACTAGGCGGCAAAGGCCGCAGACAGGAGCTACTTAGATGCTTAGGCCTTTGCACCTCATACAATAGCTACTCTCCTTCCTATGTGGCTAGATGGATTAGCCTCAACTCATACCACAGTGTGGCTACCAGGCTGGGCCCGCTCTCACCAACAGAAGCTCCCTGTGGGTCTGTCTGTCAGCCTTTCTGGAAGGGCAGTCTCTTTTTAACTGGTGCCTTCCTGTGCTCCAGAAGCACAAGATGAATCTTCTTGCAGGGGTTCTTCACATGGCTTCTAAGTACCCAGTAGGTTTCTGAAAAACCTACACTTTGGGGGTCAGGGTTTCCAAGGGTTTGTTCTTACCGCAAGAGATAGTGTGTTCTCAGAAAACCCCACAGCTTAAACAAAATACACACACAACTCATGATGCTGAGTGTCTGTTACAGTATCTGGCATGTAACTCCTAGTGTATGTATGTAATAATGCAGATATTTGGATGTTTTATTTTTTCTGCTTTGAGACAGGGTTTCACTGTGTAGCCCTGTTTGGCCTGGAACTTGCTATGCGAAGCAATCTGGCCTCAACCTTATAGAGATCCACCTGCCTCTGCCTCCAAAGTCCTGGGATTAAAGGCATAGGCCACTGTACCCAGCCTAATAATGCAATTTTTTAAAAGACAAAAAGAACTTCAAAATCTGAGTACTGCCCAACTATTCTTTTTATAACATGGGGATAAGATCTAAAGAGGTCATATAACCAAAATGTACAACTTATGTCAGAAAGGACCCTGTGCTCTGTCTGCTGATGGCGTTCAGGCCTTCGTGGCTATTCTTTGGTTATCCCATCTCTCCAAAGGCACCTGCCCCTCCTCTTCTACTGCCAGATTAACTGATTCAAATCCCAGCTGTTTTTGAGCGAAATGACACAGAAAACTGTGTGTGAAATGGTGACACATCACCATAACTGTGCCTGTGCTAAGGAGACAAAGCCTGTGTGTGCACAGCCAGCGCCTGTGCTAAGGAGACAAAGCCTGTGTGTGCACAGCCAGCATCTGTGCTAAGGAGACAAAGCTTGTGTGCGCAGAGAGCCAGCGGAGGTTTATTCATCTTTTAAGCAGATTTAATTCATGAACCTTAGATATGATTGAAAAGCAAAGAATCTTGGGATTATTCTCATCTGGAGCTCTGACTAGAACAAGCTGTACAGAGGACAAGCAGTGTGCGGACACTGTAAAAAGCCTTCATTTTTCGAGACATTTATTCCTCACATGGCTAGAGGCTGGGAATCTTAGGATCAAAGTTCTGGTGTCTGGGGATCACTCTTTCCTCATAGTCTGTATTTCTGTGCGCTTACATGGGGGTATTAACAAGCTCTCTAGCTCTCCAGGGCCTGCAGTAAAAGAACTAATTCCACTCAGGAGAGCTCTACACTCATGTACTGCCCGCCTAAGGGGGAAGATTTCTGTCTACAAAATTTTTGAGGCAATTTACGTTCAGCCCACTGCAGGCTGAGCTCTCGCTGATGCCCTCCTTTCTCTCTTCTGGCTACTGGCTTATCACGTTCAGTCTCAATAAGAAACTCTTAAGAGCCAGCAAGATGGCTCAGAGGTAGAAAAGTACCTGCCACACAAGCCTAACAACCTGGGTTCAATCCCCAGAACCCAGCTGTGCCAAGGTGAAAGAAGAGAACCATCTCCAGAGCTGTCCTCTGACCTCCACGCGCGCATACACACACACACACACACACACACACACACACACACACGCATGCGCACACACATGCACACACATGCATGCGCACACACATGCACACACATGCATGCACGCACACATGCATGCACACACACACATGCACACACACATGCACACTACACTCAAACAATAAACAAATGAAAAGCACAGTACACTCAGCACAACAGAAGCGTCTGGATGAAAAGGGTCAGGCTGGTCCACCGTCCTACAGAGCATGCTGTTCTTACAGATTCACTACGCTGGTGTGGTGACGATATATTCCCAAGTCCAGAACTGAGGTCAGGGCAGGCAGTAAAAATCTACATGGTTTGGCTCATTTCTAGGGCTTAAAGGACCCTTCCCTCCACCTCATGCTTTTTTGAGGAGCACCACAATCGGATACAGAGATCTATTGAGGACCGGTGTCTCTAGGGGAATGATCTTAAGGCAGCAACTTTCTCAGAGGTTGTAGGGATGATTCACTAATGACAACTCAGCACCACACGGCAGCCTGGGTCTCTGCTCTCTATGGTCATTACAAGGATCAAAGATCTGTCAGGGGCTCAACCCCAGGAATGAGCCCACCACAGCATTCAGGACCCTAACACACAGCCCCAGGGCGACGGCAGAGTGAGATGTCCACACACCTGTTGAGGTCGATCTGCTTGTACAGGTCCAGGCTCTTCCCGAAGTACTTCTTCTCAGAGTTGAGGGCATCCACCTGGGCAGCGCAGGTGCCGTGCTTATCCCATTCATGTTTCCTGTGCGGTGCAGCATAAGAAAGGTCAGACCCGTGCTCTAGAGCAGAGCTGGCGCATGCACTGAGCCTGTCAGTGCCTTCACAGATACCCTGGGCCCAGGCCCAGCCACGTGCAACAATCTCCAAAGAGACCGCTCAGTCTTCTCATGTTTCTATCTCAAACCCCTTCCAGGGCACCTCTACAATCACAACACACTCCATCCAGGCGGTGGTGATGAAGCCTATATCCCCAGCACTCAGGAGGCAGAGGCAGTTGAAGTACTTTCTAGAATACAGGCTATGAAAGACAGTGAGTTCAAGGCGTACCTGGGCTGCAAAGTGAGTTCACGGCTTCCCTGAGCAGTTTAGTGGGCAGCTTTCTCAGAACTAACAACGCTGGGAGTCTAGTTCAGCAGGAAAGCACCAGAAACTTGGACTCATCTAGTGAGCTAGTCACCACCCAAGCTTTGACTGAACGTCCTGTTTATCTAAAAGTGATTCCGGCCTACTCACTGCAGTCCACAAACCCTGAAACAGTACACCCTCAAGAAAAAGCCATGCTCAACGCTGCGATGCAGGAAGCCGGCACCGATTACATTCCGCTGCCTTAAGGCATTTTATCAAACGAGGAATATTTCTAGGTTAAATTAAGAGGCCTGGAAAGATATTATTAGCTGTAATAGGAATTATAAATTTTCACATTGGAAGATGTAGAAAAAAATTACCTTCAGTTGAATTAATTTTATCTTCTTTAAAAAACAAACAAACAAAACAATGCTTTTCAAACAACTGGGTTAATTCCAAGCTCTTGCTAACCTGGAAGAAGACTGTCCCTGTGAGACTCACACTGTCTCTGATCAGGTTACCATGAGGTCACTATCTCTAAGGCATGCTCTGTGTGTGTGTGTGTGGGGGGGGTGAGATATTTGGATTGATTTTTAAATATGCAAGCATTTGATTGCTGAATTTTAGGAGAGAGGACTTTTTAAATGAAGTAATGGATGAAATAACAAGAGACCAGAAAATAAATTCATTACATAAATTCCACCTGACCTCATTTTTAACCCACTGGACAGAGGCCCTCAAAGCTACATACCAGAATCCTTTCTTGACGCCCTCTAGTGACAGGATCTGTCCCCTGTTCTCTGTGCCTCCCACAGCTGACACCCAGGACACCCTTAGAAATTCCTCACATCTGTGTTCAAATGCATATGGCCAACGGGAATTCAGACTTACCAGAACCGGCTACGGTTAGAGGATGGGTGGATCACATCGGGCCAGTAGATCTTCATGTCTCGCAGAAGGTCCTGTATGTAATTTAAACAAAATGTTTGCCCAATACCTAACAAATTCAAAACTTCTAAGCAAACTTAACAAACTAATAAACAGAAAGCATTCAAGCTCTAACAATTTAAATGAGCAAAATGAGTTTGTGTTTATTCTACATAAAGCATACTGAAGTAGCCGCAAGTGAAAACACACAAACTCTTACAAGAGAATGACAAGGCCAGGCGACAGTGGCACACATCTTTATCCCAGCACTCAGGAGGCAGAGGCAGAAGGATCTCTGTGAGTTCAAGGTCAGCCTGGTCTACAGAGCAAGTTCCAGGACAGCCAGGGCTACACAGAGAAACCCTGTCTCAAAAAAAAAAAAATCAAAAAACAAATAAAATAAAGAGAATGATAGACTGATGAAATGATCCTCTGAAGCCACAAAGACACGTGAGGAACCTTAACTGTACTGTGGGAAGTGAGAGCAGCAGGCTGTACTATGACTACAACCACAAGAAGGTCTGAAAAGGGCAAATCCTGAGACACAATGAGATCCAAGGTCGCCTTGGGTATCAGGAGTGACAAGAAAAGGTGGGGACAAGTGAACACTGTCACCTCCTCCTCCAGTGCTGTCTGCTGTCACCTCCTTGTGCCTCCTCATGGACCACTTCCCTCAGCCTAGTTTCAGCCCCAGTGAGACCTCTGGGGATAGCCTAGAGTGATGTCACTTACAGTCAAACAAGCCCACTTTCCTGTTGGAGACAACTATGTCCGACCATAACACTACACAAGCACACCAGGACTTTTGGGAAGAGAAGCAGTAAGGATGGCTACTGCAGACCCACTGGCCCAGCACCAAAGGCTGCTCGACCCTGGTGCTCTGGATTTCCCTTCCAGGAAGCGCTAACCCACTAACACAACTCATTTTCACTGGTCCTTTTTCCTTCATCTTTTAAATGCTAGGTTCAAGCTTTGTGTAGCAATAGTATCATATTCAAGGAGGCTTACCCAAGGTTTAACTGTTGCTAATCGAAAATTTTGCCTAGTACCTTGATGTTGTTTTTCACTTGCAATATAGAGGACACTGGCAACTTTTTACAATCTCTATAGAAAATAAATAATTTTAAGAAAAAAATAACTTTTTAAAAATATGTAATTTATTTCTATGTTATATGCATTGGTGTCTTGCCTGCATGTGTGTCTGTGTGAGGGTGTCAGGAAGTCCTGGAACTGGAGTTACAGACAGCTGTGAGCTGCCATATGGGTTCTCAGAATTGAACCTGGGTCCTCTGGAAGAGCAGCCAGTGCTCTTAACCACTGAGCCATCCCTCCAGACCCCAAAAAATGTACTTTTAATAAGCTACAGTCAGCTACTCTTGACAGCCTCACTACCTAGTTTTACCTCAACATCTGTTTCCTGGAGGACCTGGCCAGACAGGGACAGACTTGGCATCTGGATTCCTGGGGAACCAGGGAAGCTTGAGGTTGTCTGTGCAGTTTTCATGTGCCCCTGGCAAACTTCCACTGCTCAGCCCAAAGTGTAGGACGGACTGACAGACAGCAACTACTCAGTGGTGATTCAGAAGATAGCTAGAGTGTATGCATATTCAGACACCCAGTACAGCACAGTTACTTTAGCACTCAGGAGGCAGAGGCAGATGGATCTCTTTGAGTTCGAAGCCAGCCTGGTCTACAAAGCAAGTTCCAGGACAGCCAAGACTGTTACACAAAGAAACCCACCTATCGGGCCTGCCATGTCCCATATGCCACCCCAGGTACCCTGACAGGAGTTGTTGGTGCCCCTTCAGGAAAGGTGAACACGCGGGAGCAGGTTTGCCATGCCGCGCGAATCTCAAGAGCACTTCTGTCCCGTGATTCTGTAACGGGAATTGTGATGCCGAAGAGGCCTGCCATGTCCTCCTCCTCGGAGTTCCTACTTAGAAACCATGCACCTTGGGTATCAGGTGCCTATTCTCCAAGCCACAGCTGTCTGGAAATGTCTCACCCTTACCACACAAACCAAGTGCCCACTTTCCCTCACTGGCCCAGAAGCCCCAGAGCTAAGGTCTAGCTAGCTCTGGCATGTAAGCAGACGGGTCCGTTCTATCAGGACAGGCACTGCTGCCCCCTGAGCTGTTCTAACGTCCATTCAGACCTAGACCAGGAGGTGGAAGGTGGATTTTTTTTCTTTTTGCATGTATGGGGTTGTTGTGTATAGCAATCATTACTAAAGAGACCCAGGGGGCTCAGTCCTGGTGAATCCACTCCTTCAATTTGAAACACGACTTTGAAGGTACACTTATGAAGGATGAATTCATTTAGTTCAACTTTCTATTTGCAACAGAAGTATAATAAAAAAAGATCAGTACCTTAATCTCATCTAAGTTAAAGTGCCAGGATTGGTTACAATCTTCTGCTCTATCAGGCCTTGAAATCCAAATGTTTAAGAAAAAGAAGAAATATTAGTCTTGGTGAAGAGGCCTTAGTCCACAACACTAGAAAGCACTTCTCTTAAAAATCTACATGTGAGAGAGAAATTCTAGTCAGGAACCCCGTACCCCCCCCCCCCAGAGCACATCAACAAATATGAGCAAGGAAGTCAGGACCATGAGGGGTTGGTTCACCCACTGAGAAAGTGTGCCTGAACTAATGGGAGCCCACCAAAGCCAGCTGGACTGGGACTGAACGAGCACGGGATCAAACTGGACTCTCTGAATGTGGCTGACAATTGGGGAGGCTGAGAAGCCAATGATAATGGCACTGGGATTTGTCTCTACTGCATGAACTGGCTTTTTGGGACCCTAGTCTATTTGGATACACACCTTCCTAAGCCTGGATGTAGTGGGGAGGGCCTTGGATTTCCCACATGGCAGGGTACCCTGCCCTCTCTTAGGACTGGAAGGGGAGAGAAGGAGGATGTGGGGGGGAGCAGGTGGGAAGTGGGAGGAGGGGAGGAAGTGGAAATTTTGATTGGTATTATTTATAAAGTAATAAAAAAGAAATTTAATAAAAAAATTTTTAAAGAATGGTTCTGAGCAAATGGTCAGCTTGACTTTGTTCTGGAAAAGGAGCAAATGTAAGAAAGGACCCGGGATCTTTGCTTATCTTTGAAAAGGGGGCTGGAGAGATGTTCGGTACTTAAGAGCACTGGTCTCTCTCCCAGAGAACATGGTTCAAGGCCCAGCACCCATATGGCAGTTCATAACTGCATGCTCACTCCAATCCCAGGGACAATGCCCATTCCTGGCTTTTGCTGGTACTGGGTACACACATGGTACACAGACATACATGCAAGTAAAACATAAAAGTGTGTGTGTGTGTGTGTGTGTGTGTGTGTGTGTAAGAATCTGGTCAACAGAATAAACTTCTAAAGAGAGTAACATGTCTCTAGTGACTAGACTCCAGCTAGCTTTTCCCGACTATCTCATTGGGTTTTGCTACATTAGATGCTTGCCATAGTCCATGTATTGTCCAATAATCCAGAGTATCTCTGCAGCCGTCAACTTCCTGGGGAAAAAACAAACAGACAAGGAAGGTGACTGGTTGTGTAAATATTTATCAACTCCGTTTTCTTTGAACGTGCATCAACTAGACACAGGCACACCACTAACAGACAGTAACCCCGGGGTTAGCATTGTATAAGTTTACTCTAGCACCGCACTCATGGGAAATGCCAGGGCTAGCAGTCAAGGTCAGTCCTCAGCTGCAGGGAATCGGGCAGCTAGTCTCGGTCTTTCCATGCACCCACAGGTATGGACAGGCACATTTACCTACGAACAATCTACATAGCAGGAGCAAACATGTAAGAAAACCCTGGCGCTCTGTGACTCGCAAGCCTGCTCTGGTACCAGACCCTAACGCAGTGAACTGGTAGGTGCTGGACACTGGACGCCAAAGAGTGTGACGGGGTGAAAACAGGAGCGTTTTCTCAACTTCAATCACAAAGATAAAATCAGAGATGAAAAATCTTAGTAAGATAAAATTATGGCCCTCCAAGGGGTTTAGTTAGGATGAAACTTTCCCACAATAAATGATAATAGAAATAAACAGACTCGGGCTGTCAGACTGGATGAAAAGGAACAGAACTCAGGACACACACGTGCACACCAGGAACCAGGCAAATATAACACCTGGACCCCGCTACTACAGACAGACATCATGCCCCTCCTGTCCTGATGTCTCCCACCACGCGGCCTCTTTCTATGAGCCGTCTGAAGAGTCCAGTTCAGGCGACTGGTCACTAGTGAGAGCTGCCTGCTATCGAATGACTGAACGACTAGAGATGGGAGCTATACCCCACACGTACACCTCAGCCTACACCCCGAGTCCTTCCTTAAGGAAAGTTCATTTCCTACAGGCACAGTGTGACTGAGGTGCAGAATCAGGGCTGAAGGCCCCTGCAGAGCTCCACGGCCAGGCCCCTACCTGACCTAGGACAGAAACTCAGACAAGAGGCGGCTTTCTTCTTCAGTCGGCAAACGCTGAGGTCTCGTGGAGCCTCTTGAGATCATGACAGGTGTGTCCCAGCATAATTCATGTCCGTCTACCTCACGGGGGTGTGGAGGTGGGGGGAGGACACAGACACAGCACTTGTAGCTAAAGAAGGGCACAGCGAGGCAACAGCACACCCATAATTCCTCAGGCAGGCCAGACCCGCCTGGTGCCTGCTGCTGGAGGGCAACTCCTCTAGGGCTGGCCTGAAGCAAGCTTTCCAGTGAGGTCTTCTCCACCTAAAACCCTCATGTGCCGCGCTCCCTGTACATCCTCTCTCTCCACCCCCACACTGGAACCAGGGACCCAGGTCAAGGGTATGACTTGGCAACCATAACTGAAAAATCAACTTCATCTGTCAACAGGAAATTAAGATGGAGGAAGTGAAAGAGAAAATCCCCACTACTCCATGCCCAGGGAGACAGAAAGGCAGGAAGGCTCTCAGCCTGGCAGGAGAGCAGACTACAGCAAAGCTGCGGGATACGCTGTATATGCTTCATAAGTAAGAGGTCCCAATTTTTAAACTCAAACAGGTTTTCAGAAAAAACTATCAACAACACTAGTGCCCAGTCAGCAATATGACAAAAACTCCAGGGCCAGCTCTTATAAACCACCCGCGAGGATGAGCCAGCGCAAGGCCCCAGCTGGCAGCACTCCGAGAGAAGTCTCGGCACCGAGAGCATAAAGGACACAAGGCATGAAAGGAAACACGGACGTGGACAGAGGTGCCGACCTCAAGGGGGAAGGGTATCGTGGCTGCCAAGCAGAACCGTCTTGGCAGCGGGCAATGGCCTTCTTCAAGCACACGCTGCCCATTGCAGGCACCTGGGTACAGCTCAGTACACAGAGGGAAGTACAGGCCTACTGAAGGCAGAGCCGTGGGCCCCAAAGATACATCTCTGCCCCAAGCCGCCTACTGTGAACATCAGCTCCTTTGGAAATAGGGTTTTTAAAGATATAATCAAAGTAAGATGAGGCTCTATTAGGTCAGGCTGGGCCCTAAATCCAGTTAGTGTCGGAGAGACAGAGATGCGGTGTGTAGATCTTTGAATGAGATTGGCTCCCATATTTGAAGGCTTGGTTCCCCAACTCGTAGAACTCTGTGGGAAGGGTTAAGTGTAGTGTGGCCCTATGGGAGGAGCTTTGTCCCTGGAGGTGGGCTTTGACGGTTCAAAAGCCCATGCCATTCCCAGTATCTCTCTCGGCATCTTGTCTATATCTCAAGATGTGACCTCTCAGCTACTGCTCCTGAACCATGCTTGCTGGCCACTTGGCCACCATGCTCCCCATCAGGGTGGTCACAGACCTAACTCTCGGAAAATGTAAGCTCCTAAAAAAAAACAAACAACAACAAAAAAAAAAAAAGAAAGAAAAAGAAACCTCTTGCTTCTCCAAGTTTCCTTGTGTAGTGGCATTTCAATTGTATTTTAATAAATAAAGCTTGTCTGGGGATCGGGAAAGCAAAGCAGCCACACTGGAAGCCTTACAGACCAAGCAGCAATGGCACACACCTTTAATCCCAGCAGCCACACTAGCTTGCCACAGAAACCACGTCTTGAATCCCAGAATGAGAGGATTATAAAATGGGAGAAGACAGCTCTCACTCACAGTCTCATTCTGAGATTCCTGGAGGCAGGATCGCTATTTCGAACTGAGGTAGAGGTAAGAGCTGGCTGTTTTGCTTTTCTGACCTTTAGGTTAAACCTCATTTCTGTTTCTGGGTTTTTATTAGTTGTGTACCAGCCTTGGTCTTGGTGTCTTATCATGGCAAAAAGATAAATAAATAACTAAGACACCATGAAGAAGACAGACACTGGAGTACTGCATGTAGAAGTCTAGAACACCCAGGACTGTCACCTCTAGTGGTGGGCAGGAACAAACGCTCCCAGGAAGAACGAGTCCTCCTGATGCCTTCTGCAGACTCCCAGCCCCGGCACGGAGAGGGAGTGCACTTCCAGTGTTCTAAGCTGCACCACTCGGGATTCTGTTGCCGTCACCCTCCGAATCCTACACACGCAAGTCACTGGTCAAGCGGTCCAGTCACACTTCAGGGCAGATTTAACATACCTGGCATACAAGGTGGGCACCTGCCCATACAAAACAACTCATACAGGCCTACTGGATCAAGAGGGCCGGCCAAAACAGAGCTCACCTTGCAAACTGTTGGGGGCCAGTGCTGGGTCAAAATTAGTTTCTTCCACTCATGGCTGCCACTGTTAAAAGACAAACGTATTTTTCAAGGATGTGTCCAAGTGACAAAGGCTCACCTATCCAGTCAACCCACTCTTTCAACAAGGAGAGTCTACGGGACTGGACACATGACCAGGAACAGCGATCCCTACTGTGATGGATTAATTTAAAATGCTGCAGGATCCCTGGTGGTGGGGCCACGTGGGGGCAGACAGTGGGCAGAGGGTCCCAAGAGCAGCTACTCTCAGTCAGGGACAGTGCAGAAGACCACGAGGAGAGACAGACAGATGGGCACGCCACGAGACCACACACACCACAGGTCTCCGAAGGCAACTGGTCCCGGTCAGGGAGATACTGCAGTGGGCAAGAGACAGAGACATGGATAGGCATGCCATGCAGTGTGAGGTTGAGTATTTATTTATTGAGTGGGTTATGGAGAGGAAAGTAAGAAGGGGAGAGGAGCAGAGAGGGGGTTGGGAGGGAGACAGAAGGGGGAATGGGAGAAGTGGGCAGAGGCAGAAGCTGAGAGGGAGACGGAAGAGACTCAGGCTGCAAGCAGGAAGGACACCTGCCTGCCTAAGCAGACTGGAGGGGGCGTGGCTTGTCTCTTAAAGAGACAGGACAGACCATTACACCTACCTCCTGAAGTACAGGCCACAAAGGAAGGCAAAGAATGCTCTAAGAGCAACAAGTATACCAGGGCACATATCTGTGAGTAATGGAGAATATCAACAAAGTGGAGGGGCCAAGTGGGTGGGGTAGAGCTAGGAAGGCCTGCTGATGGAAAGTAACTGAGCAATAGTTGCCTTTTTCAGGGGACTCAGTATACAGACTCCTAATTTCTTCGCTCTCTCTGTGAGCTCCCGAGGCTCTGAAGATTTATCTTGTTCCCCTCCATTCACGTGCCAAAACAAACACGACCTGAAGCCACACTGAAGTCCTATCAATACCCTATTTGGCATTTAGCTGCCCTTACACCCGTGGTGACAGGATGTTACTTCAGAGACCACTATGGATATGAATGTCACCTGCAGCCTAGCCTGGGCTCTAGCCACAGCCTGACCTGGGCAAGCAGACTTGGTACACATTATCTAGGGTACGGTATGTGATGTGCTCTGTCTTGTCACATGTTCCCTGGACCACAGTACGCTCACCAAACTGCTTTTATCGCAAGCCTGTGAACTGAGGCTCTCCCAATCCAGAGACTTCACAGAGAAACTGTGGGACTGTGGAGCTGTAGGGTGGTTATCCCTAATGGTCACATGTTGGAGGCAGAGTTTAGGCAACAGCGGGGGAGTTTTTAGATATGGGACCGACAGGGAATCATCAGGTCGCTGGCAGTATGCCCTTGGACAGAACTTTGGTAGTTCTGCTGGGATCCTGACAGCCGCCATAAAAGCCTAAACAGATGCTGAAAGCCTTCTCTACAGAAGAGATGAAACACACTAATTAAAGCTCTGACCATCCCCATTTATTTGCAAAGGATCACACTGAGCCGGGAAGGTAAGGCTCAGAATAAAACTCAACCAAACTATCTCTATGTGTTTTTCAGATAAAAGAAGGTATGTCCGTTTAATAAGAGATCCAAGGCCTCACCTACTCCAATACTCAAGGAGAAAGTCAGAGAAAAGGAGACCCACCCAACACAAGGAACTCACCTGGCCTTGGGGCTGAAATTCCAAGCGTAACCCAGCGGCAGACTTTAGGCTGGTTATAGAACTGTGCTCTGCAGCCTGAAGTCCTCAGCTAACCCTCACTGCCCCAAGCCCTTTCTATATCTTAGCTGCTCACAGGTACCAACTGTGCTGTGCGGGGCAGGTCTCCTAGCAGTAGGGCTCCAAGATCACACTCTTAGATAGGGACTAACTTTTGCACGCCCGCGCGTGCGCGCGCGCGCGCGCACACACACACACACACACACACTGCACACCACGACATGCCCGAAGAATGGTCCCTGCCTTAAATAGATATGAAAGCAAACAAATGCCACTGGCTTTTAGTTACTCTTTGGGAACACAGGACTTCTTGAGAGCAACGAAGCCCTACCTTTTCCGCTCCAGTGGTGCAAAAACACCAAAAGCTTTTACTAATCGACTGTTAGGCAGAAGAGGGAAAAGTCAGAATGTGTTCAGGGATTGACCTGGCAGAATGGAAGCAGAGATGATTAGAGCTAGCCCGTGCGTCCCAGAGAGAGCTAAGGGGCGCTTGCGAGCGCGGTGGGGGGGGGGGGGGGGGGGGGGGGGGGGGGGGGGGGGGGGGGGGGGGGGGGGGGGGGGGGGGGTGCGGGGAGGAAGTCCCCTGAAGAAAAACTTAAAAAGAGGAAGAAGGGCGTCCAGAAACCAGCCTCCAGCCCTGCCGGCTGGCTCTCACCTCCACAGCGGGCCCGCCCCGCACAGGCACCACAGCGCCAGGCCCCAAGCCAGCACGGAGACCGAGCCCGGGAGGGCGCCGCGAGCCCCCGCCGATGCCATAGCGCTGCCCCGGGCTCCACAGCCTCCCAGCAGCCTTCGCGCGCGCCGGCTCGGCAGCCCGACCGCCCGCTGCCGACGCTTCACCGAAGGCTTCCGCCAGTCAGCCGAGCACCACTGGGTAGCCCCCACGGCCACGCCCCCTAGCTCGAGGCACGCCCCCCGAGCCCCGGTGCACAAGCCCCGAGCCGCAGGCCACTCTCCCGAGTTCTGGGCGGGCACGCCCCCAGCCCGGGCCACGCCCCCGATGGCCCCGCCCAGAAAGTCCCCTGGCTTCAGTTCTGGAACCCTCAGGTCTAGGCCCACCTGACGGACACTCCCCCCACGCGCAAGGTCCCTGCCGTTTTGCCCCCCATTGCTACTGGGAGTTCGGTGCCACCCAGCTACAGACTGGATGGAGAAGGCTAACCCTTCTATTCCTCCTCTCTGACTTGTTTAATTCTTCACTTTGCCAGGAGTGTCCGGTTCACACCCATGGACCGCACACAGCCAAGGATATGGTATGATGTGGCTCAACCCAAAGTCATAAGCTGACTTAAAACATGAGGGTTTTTTTTCTTTCTTTGTAATTTTTAAAAAGTCATTTCATGATTCCCTCGGATAAGCGTTGTGGATAATACATTGTGTCACATTGTCAAAAGGTTGGACACCCAAATCTAGATAATGCAGACTCGCCCACAGTTCTGTTTTCTCTCTCGTGGATGAAAATGATCATTAAAAAGAAAGCAAACCCCAATACCTCAAATCCTACTTCAACCACAGCCCTGTCTGTTTAAACATCTCAGAGAAGCCTGCTTTGGCTCCTGCCAACAAAAGCCAAAGGTGGGCTTCCTAAGGCCAGGTGTTCTTAGGGAGAGTTGTTGCAGGGATTAGCCGTGGACTGGTAACATCATGGAAGGGGCGAAGTAATGAATAGTCTATTTGAGGCTCCTGGCTCAGCATAAAAGATTGGAGTGTAGCTTTACAGCTGTTGCCAGTGACCAACCTCTTCTTAAAGAGGGTGAGCCAGAGCCCCCTCCGCCCCGGGGAGAGGAGGGCGTGGCCATGGCTTGGGTAACAGCGCTTTGTTCCTTTGGCGGTGTCAGTCTCGGTGAGGAGCTGGAATTCCTGGGCACAACTTCTGACCTTGGCCTGACTTTTATTTAGGTCACGTGAGGAAGGGACAGCTCTTGCAGTAAGTCATTTTCCAGAACTCAGCGAATGAGGGGTTTCATTTCGTAACATTTGCCATCATTTGGAAGGAGCCACCCAGACGCTTCCTTGATTCTCCTCAGCACAGGTCTGTCAGCCATGACAAAGCACCTAGGATTCCTCGGTCCCTCAGCAAGTGAGCTGATCAGAGCAGGGGCCCCTGCTTCCCGCTCTCACTTGCATGGATCCTTCAAGGTCCTCTACTTTATAGTTGTGATTATAATTTTGTATTCCTTAGTGGGTGGGCTGTTTTTTCACACAGGGTCTCAGTCCGTAGCTCTGGCTGACCTGGAATTGACTATGTAGGCCAGACTGATCTCAAACTCACAGAGATCTGCCTGGCTTTGCTGGATTAAATGTAAGGCCCCAGTTCATTCCTGTTTTGAAAATGAACTTCCAAGTTCTATAACTTCTCAACCTCCTAAATTTGAAGATGCTGGGTGCAACCTGTCCAGCAGGATCCTAAACAGCCCCATGCAGCACGGCCACTGGAGACAAGTTTGCGATAGGATAGAGAGAGGGGCTAGCTAGCTTAGCAGGAAGCCAGGCATCAGGGAGGTGGAGACATTTCGGGGATGACTGGCTCCCATAACACAGTGTGAGGGGACAGATGAGGTTTGAGGGATGGAGCTCGCCTGTGTAGCAGCAGGTCCTGGGAAGGAGTGGGTGGCAGACAGTGGTCGCCAATATCTGTGAGTCAATGTCCTTAAGTCTGTTTAGACCCCAGATATCAAGATGCTTTCATGACATGACCTATTGGGGACCTTCCAGTTTTTATACCTATTTGGATTCCCTTGGCAGCTTTTGCTAGATTATATTGCAGTAATGAACTGCCCTGATTTTGGTGGCTTATTGCGACGTAGTGCCCTTTCCAGACGCAGCTATAGCCCATGGGGTTGGTTTGTTTGTTTGCTCTGGACCTAGGATGGGGATAAGGAAAGGAAAGGAAAGGAAAGGAAAGGAAAGGAAAGGAAAGGAAAGGAAAGGAAAGGAAAGGAAAGGAAAGGAAAGGAAAGGAAAGGAAAGGTAAGGTGGGGAAAGGAAAGGAAAGGAAAGGAAAGGAAAGGAAAGGAAAGGAAAGGAAAGGAAAGGAAAGGAAAGGAAAGGAAAGGAAAGGAAAGGAAAGGTCCAATGGCAAAGCAATGTTTTTGATGCCCAGACATATTAGCAAGGATGCTTCATCATCCAGTGGAATCCTTTGGGTCAGGATAGTCCAAATAGTGAGACTGGACATGCAGAACCAGCTCGGATCTGATTTACAAATGGCTACAGTGAATATAGATCTGAGCCTGCAGCAATTGAAGGTGCCAAGTGTCCAAAAGTGAACCTTTAAAATATCACATGCCCTGACACCTGGATGTTCTCAGGAAAGGCCCTGGGAATGGGGCGGGGTGGGGGAGGCAGCGGCCAGCCAGAACAAAGAGAGAGCACGCCCATTGTGTGCAAAGTGGAGCACACCTCTGGATGATTTCCAATGGGAAGGCTGGGCAAGGGTCAAGGCGTGCAAGATTAGGCCTCTTCAGACAAGAAGGGCAAAGCACCAAGGCACCTGGACGGCGTGAGGAGGCGCAGGCTTCAGAGTTGAGGGTGCATCCTGGCTGATAGGAAGAACCTGAGCTTAGTTCAGATTTTCCCAGCCATGAGTCTGTGAACCAGGCACACCAACTGACTTCTTTCTGGCCCACTTTCCGTTTGAGAACAGGAAAACACCAGTCTCAGGAGCCTGTCACGTGGCTTAAACAGATTACACCCAATCCTCTAGAAGATTCCTGGGACAGAGGCTAGGCACCCTGTAGTTGGGACAGGCAAATCGCAGGGAGCCTCCTGGGGAAACTGCCTTGGGTTTGATCAGAAACTTGTGTGTGGTTCCTTCTTTTCCCATCAGTTGTTAGTTCTGAAAGTCTTTGTCATACTATGGGGAATCCTACTGTAAAACTCCTTTGCAGGCTAAGACTTGAGAACAGCCAGTTCTGGTTGAGGTACCTCACCATCTCAGGCTGACTGTTGCAGGACATAGTTTACAGAATCGGTGTGTTCTGAGTTGTGACTACGACAAAAGAGGGCAGGAGGAGATGGAAGAGCCTGCTCAGGTGTTTCTTGAAATGTCATTTTTTTTCTTGTAGATGTCACAGAGATAACGAGTGTGGTGATATTTTGTTTTTGTTTTAATAAATAGAGCTTGCCTGAGGATCAGAGTACAGAGCTAAGTCACTAGAGGCCAGGTAGTGTTGGCTCACACCTTTAATCCTAGTACACGGAAGTCCCCACACTTTAAATGCCGGCATTAGGGAGGTGGAGAAAGGAAGGGATGTGGCTGGGTGGAGAGAGGAATGTAAGACAGGAGGAGACAGTAGCTCATTGTGGTCTAGAGATGCAGTCTGGAGATGATGCAGTCTGAGGAGACAGTCTGAGGACAGAATCGCCCTTTTGGTCTAAGCATTGGTAGAGGTAAAAAGCCTCTCTAGTGCCTGGCCACTCTGCTTCTCTGATCTCTCAGCTTTCACCCCTTATTATCTGACTCGGGGTTTTTATTAAGAGCAATAAAACTGGAGCCATGAGAAAGAAGCAAAATAAACCGAACCCCTGATGCTCTGTCATGTCAAGTGTGTTATTTCTATCCTCTAATATCCCACAGTCAGCTTTGGTACCTCTGACCAAAATGCCATCTACAAAATTTTACCCTAAAAATCTATTATCTGTGTATTTCTGACTCATTTTACACAAGATATTTATTCTGAAAACAGAAAAAAAAAACTGGGCTTACTCACACGCAGTCACGTGCACAGACACCCACATACACCTATAAACACTCCCACGTGCGTGTTATGAAAGTCTGTTTACTGGAGCTTTTAAAAGCACCGTCTTGAGGGAATAAGCCAGCCATAGTAGACTCAGCATGATGGTGGGGCGGGGTGAGCCCCCGACAGCCATGCCCTGCCCCTCCAGAGGTACTGTGGCCTCTACTCATTTTCCTCTGCCTTGAAACCCTCACTGAAAGATAAAAACAGCATGTACAAATGACCTTTCCCAAGCTATCCATTAAAGACTGGCCGACACAGAGGGGCTCCCTCTGTCCTAGTGCCCAGCCTCTGACACTCCCAGCTGTCCTTTGAATGTTTGCCCCTCTGACACTTGTGGAAATTTGACCTCCGCAGTGAGGTATTCACAGACAAGAGATGAACTCCAACCTTGGATTGGTGGGGCGAGGTTATGGGGGTTGATTAAGATTGAATACGGTCACAGGCACAGCCCTCCCGATTGTATCTGTGGCTTTAGAACGAGAGAGAGACTAGAGGATACATTCGTAAGACCATCCCTGTCTCGGTGTTGTGACCTGTACCACCTTAGGATGGTGTCCACAAGATAACTGTCAATCTCCAGAGCCAGCAACAGTCTGTGGGCATTCAGCCTCCAGGGGATCTTTAACTTCTTTAGTCCAGTACTGTGTCATCCGTGACAGAAAGCAGACTAAGAGAAGCTGAGACACAGGCGTCAGGAAGCAATTAGGTCACCAAGACATCACATTTCTATCACTGTGATAAAACACCTGGAAGGAACAATTAAGAGGAGGAAATGTTTATTTTCGGCTCAAGGTTAAGAGGTATGAGGCCAGGGTCACTTGGTTGGCTGTTCTGTGGTGAGGCACAGCATCCTGTCGGAAGGGCATGCAGATAGAAATGGGGGTGGGGCTTAAGATCTAGGCCCCAAGAGGACACCCCCAGCTCCCTCAAGTAGGCTTCACCAAATAGAGTGACCATCACCTTCCAATCAATTGGAAAGCCCTCAATGAATAAGTCACTGACGAGCTAGCTCAGAGCTCTCGGGATGCAGTCAGAAATCCCATTGGCTGGCAACCCAGACCTTTTGGGTGCGTTTTGGGTACATGCTATACCGTTCCTGTCACATTGTTAGTGGTGGTCAGTGTCTCGACCAGGTGGCGCCAGGCTCTTGGAATCT